GGCTACAGAGAGATACACACAAATATATACACATAGAGATTTAAAACATATAGAAACTGAAAGGCATTTAAGGAATTGCTCAACATCCTTAGTCACCAGGGAAATGCAAATCAAAACAACTCTGAGATACCATCTTACACCTGTCAGAATGGCTAAGATCAAAAACACTGAAGACAGCTTATGTTGGAGAGGATGTGAAGTAAGGGGAACACTCCTCCACTGCTGGTGGGAATGCAAACTTGTACAGTGACTCTGGAAATCAGTATGGTGGTTTCTCAGAAAATTGGGAATAAGTCTTCCTCAAGACCCAGCTATACTACTCTTGGGTATATACCCAAGGAATTCTCAATCTTACCACAAGGACACATGCTCAACTATCTTCATATCACCATTATTTGTAATAGCAAGAACCTGGATAGAACCTAGATGCCCCTCAACTAAAGAATGGATAAAGAAAATGTGGCACATATGCACAATGGAGTACTACTCAGCAGTAAAAAACAATGATATCATGAAATTTTCAGGCAAATGGATGGAACTAGAAAATATCATCTTGAGTGAGGTAACCCAGACTCAGAAGGACAAACATAGTATGCACTCACTTATAAGTGGATACTAAATGTGAGGGAAGGGATGGCCAGACTGCAACCCACACCTCTAGAGAGGCTAACTAACAGGGAAAGACCCTAGGAGGGACACATGGGTGACCCTGCAAAGGAGAAGTGGATGAGATCTACATGAGTGACCTGGGGGGTGGGGTGGCAGTGGGCAAGGAGTGGGGCATGAGAACATAGGGAAATGGGAGGGTCAAGCTGGAACAGGGACAGAGTGGGAGGGCAGGGAGGAAGATACCATGATATATGAGGACATCATGGGAATAGGAAGAGGCAGGGTGCTGGGGAGGCTCTCAGGAATACACAAGGTTGACCCCAACTTGGTCTGCAGTGGTGGCCAGCCTAGCAAATAACCTAGCTGTCATCATAGAGCCTTTGTCAAGTGACTAATGGAGGCAGATACAGAGATCCACGGCCAGGTACCAGGCTGAGCTCCGGGAATCCAATTGATGAGAGAGAGGAGAGATTCTGTGATGGGAGGACGTGCAGAGATGACCAGCCACACTACTGGAAGCCCATGAACTGTGGACTGGTGGCTGTAGAGCCCCCATGCGACTAGACTAGGCCCTCTGGATATGGAAGATGGTTGTTTGGCTCGAACTGTTTGGGGGGCACCCAGGCAGGGGGATTGGGATCTGCCCGTGGTCTATGGGCAGGCTTCTGGGAATCCAGTGCCTGAGGTGTGATGCCTTGCACAGCCTTGGTGCAGTGGGAAGGGACTTGGACCTGGCTAGACTGTGTTCTAGGCTCTGCTGACTCCCCATGGGAGACCTCAATTTGGGGGATATGGGGATGCAGGGTGGCTTGGGAAAGAGGGCTGGGGGTGGGAGGAGGGAGGAGGGGAGACCTATGGATAGTATGTGGAGTGAGTAGAAAATTTCTTAATAAAGAAAAATGATAAAAAACAAAAACATATAGAAAAGCAGCAAACTTATTTATGACTATAGTGACATTATTTCAAACAAAAAATAGCTCAAGCATGTATAAGTGCATTTAGCAGTCCAATGTTTGACATGTCTCCAAATAGTATGTCTTTATATGCCTGTTCCTACAATATGCCTTGACTATAAAACAGTAAAAATCACTTGAAGGAAAATTCTGCAAAATCAAATTTTAGTTGAACTCCATATATCTATTCACTAAAATTAGTAAGTTCTTGGTAGAAGAACTTTTTATTATTCTGTGGGACTCATTAACAGCTTGAGTCCCATTAAGAAACTAGTATTTTCACACTGGGATCTTTTATTTTTAATTATGTTTATGTATGTGTCTATGTGTAGATATATGCATGTGAGTGTTGGTGCCCAAGAAGGTCAGAGGTGTCAGATGTGCCTGAAACTAGTGTCCCTGGCAGTTGAGAGCCACTCAGTGTGGGTGCAGGAACTGAAACTCAGGTCCTCTCTACAAGCAGTACACACTCAACTCCTGAGCCACTCTCTGAAGTTCCACATGCTGAGATTTATGCTAATGCATTAAGAAGCTTTGTGAAAATTCTATTAGGATTAAAACAAAATGTTTACCAAGCTAGAAGTCCAAGCCAATATTTCTCTGAGATTTCTATGGAGGCAGTGAATCTTTCGGCTTTTGAGAAGGTCAAACTAATTTCATTCTTAGTGATAGAAAAAAGCATAATTGCAGATTAAACACTTATAGGGTATTAAATGAATATTATTCTTTGCATGTATTGGCCTCCCTGACTTCCAGGTTGAATGTATTATTATTGAAATTACATTCAATACATTTGAACCAAATGTTTATCTTACTTGCTTTTCTCTAATCTTTCTCCTTCCTTCTCTTCCCCCAGGACTGAAATGAAAGAATGAATCTCCAAATAAAGGTGGAAGGCAGCGTCTTAGCTGGAATGCATGGGTTATTGATGGTACTAAGTTCAGGCTTTCTTAGTGGCCATTTCAGTGGAACTAGGTATGCAGAACAAAACAGTAAATTTGCACTTTAGAGAAGAGCAACTTAAAGAACTTTTTTGTCAGTTTTTAATGTTTGATAAAAGGTGCAGTAACTTTGGATAATGACATACAGCTGACAGAATGATCAGTAAATGTCAGGCTGAAGTAGTGTAATGTTTTCTGTTCTGTTCCATTTTACTGATGGCAGTGGTAATACCATGAGTGTGTTTTCAACAGGGTCATCAAAATAGCTATAATTATAAAAGTATCTGCTATAGAATGTTTCCGGACATAGGCACTGTTGCACTCACAACTGTAGACAGCTTTGATGATCAATAGGACTCCTACACTAGATTGGAACCATTCATTTTCATTGCAGGTAGGGAAAGGTTCACAAAGCCCTGCTCATGCCTGAAATTTTTTCAAGACAGGGTTTCTCTGTGTAGCTTTGCACCTTTCCTGGAACTTACTCTGTAGCCCAGGCTGGCCTCCAACTCACAGAGATCTGCCTGCCTCTGCTTCCTGAGTGCTGGGATCAAAGGTGTGCACCACCACTACCCGGCCTGAAAATTTTTAAACAGCTAAGAGTTGCTACAGGAGAGAGAGTTCATAAAGCCATTTATTTTCCAGAATATAGTAAATTGAAGGTTGCTGGGGGAGGAGGTGAATTCACAAACATGTATATCAGCTTCCTTAATCTTTACAGCAGCGCTATGAGGAACAATGTTATCATTATTGTTTTGTTGATGAAGAATCTAAATGAGAGAAATAGGGGGCAGTAGTAGGCAGTTCCTCTATTATTACCTGAGATGAAAAAAAACTGAAAAAGAAAGGGATTTCATTCACTGGCTGCTTGTTGGTCTTATAATAAAAACTCGGAGCCAGATATTGGGGTAAGTGCTGAAAGATCAGAGAGACAAAGGAACAAGCCACAGCCACTGAGAAGTGCATATATCTCACCATGCCCACTCCTCAGCCTATCCTGTCTCCACTAATCCTCAGACTGCATGCCTCTGAGTCCTCAGCCAAAAGGAACTAGTTCCTGTCTCCTCACACCTTATATGCCTTTCTCTGCCCAGCCATTTCACTTACTATCTCAACCTTCCTAGTGCTGGGATTAATGGCATGTGTGCTTCCCAAATACTGGGATTAAAGGTGTGTGCCATCACTGCCTGACTCTGTTTCCAGTGTGGCCTTGAATTTACAGGATCTCTGTCTCCTGAGTGATAGGATTAAAGGTGTGTGCCACCACTGCCTGACCTCTATGTCTAATCCTAGTGGCTGACTCTGTCCTCTGACCTTGAGGCAAGATTTACTGGAGTACAACAAATTATTACCACAGCTGTTTGGCTCTGTTTATGGAGATTATTGAAAAATATGATGACAAGAGCATGTAGTAAGGGATGCCTAACCACCTCATGGTGGTGAGAGCAAGGAACTAGTGTCCAATAACCCCTTTAATGGTCATGCTTTTAGTGACTTAAAACTTCTAGCTAGATTCCACTCCCTCCCATTGGGACAATGACCTCAACACATGAACCTTTGGGGGACATACTAGATATGTCAGTTTGAAATGTATGATGTCAGTCTATGGGTTTCCATGTTTGAAAACTTGGTCCCCAGATGGAAGCATTGCTTTGAGAATTTATAGATGCTTTCTAGGCATAAGGCTTAACACAGGCTCGCACAGGTGGAAGTTGAGAACTCTACAGGCCAGCTCTGCCTCTAGTCTGTTTTTCTGTTTTCTGGACTTCTGAGATACCATTTTCAAATATTTGGGCTACTTCTCAAAAGTCATAAAGTCCCTGATCAGTAGCTGTCTCCAGTGCAACTGTCACATTTCCTATTAAAATTACCACAAATAAATAGAAAGCAGTGAAAACGGGCCAAGCAAAAACCATGCATTACCTTATTCTCTTGTCTTCCACTTTTTTCAAATATTCATCTCTCTTTAGGACTCCCAGGATCATTTCCTTCTCATGATCTAATAAAAATGACAGATTGATGAATTCTGAATTCTTAGACATGGTATTTCAGCAGCAGCTCTGTGTGGCAGCAGTTGAATCTTCCAGAAGGCAAATGGATATTTACTATTGTTAAGATAGCCCCCTGGCCAACCTGGAGTCACAGCTGTTCAGTTACAAGGGCTTTTTATAAGGTCTCCACAGATTTGCTGACGAGAACTGGGTATTCTTTCAGGTTACAGAGAAAGCATGTGCTACTGAGATTACAGTCCACGAATGTCATTGTTTGCACTGAAAAAACAAGTCTCTAAAGCCTTTGCTATGATACCCAGTCAGCAGCTAAGACTCACTAATGATGCTGAACCTTGATCTCTCCAAAAGCTTCAGAACAGGAACCAATTCCTCTGGGCCAAGAATGTAGAAAACACTGAAAAGGTGGAAAAAACAAAGATGAGAAAAATTAATTAGGTCATATCACACATAGCACTCGTTCAATTATTTAATTTTTGAAACATTGGTGTACCTAGCTCAAGCACAACTTTCAAATTATTAAAAAATACATGGTGTGTGTGTGTGTGTGTGTGTGTGTGTGTGTGTGTGTGTGTGTTTTGTACTAGTCACAGTTCTAGGTAATCACTGGAAACACTGGACCACATCCCCTCCAGGTACAGGGAACAACCATGCTAAAAAAGAGATGCATTTCAATTACTTCTCTTGATAACATAAGAAGGTCACTAAGACCTGGATCATGTCCTTAACTTTAGTTTTGTACCTGGACTCTCTGTTTATAACCCCTTAAGAATGATGATAATCCTGAGAGGAGAGAGATGGTTCAGTGGTTAAGAGCACTGACTGATGTTGCAGAGGAACTAGTTCAATTCCCAGGTCATCCGGTGTCTGGTCACACCAGGATAAAAATAAAAAAAAAATTTAAAAAGAACGATAATTCTTACAGTTGTTTGCCAGATTTGGGGATTGCTACCATCTGAAAATACCATCCCTCAGGGTCCCTTAACACCTATGAATTACAAGCTACATAGTTTCCTTGGTTCTTGTCAGGTGTCTAGACATAACTAAATACTTATTCAAAGGCTGCTATAGCACAGCCATGATATCAAACTGACCTAAAAAATGTTAGTCAATGAAAAAGAAGAGCTCTGTAACTTTTCAAAGCCACTAACTAATGTGTTTGTTGTATTCAGAGTGTACCAACTACAACATTGCTGTAATGACTCCAAATTGAAATGATTCCTACAGGCCAAGACGTAGCCCCATTTGAGGAAATGTCCCAGGTCCCTCCAGACCTGGAGACTGGATTTACTCCAGACTCCAGACTGGATTTACTCAAGGCCTTTTGCCAATCTGCAAAGACCATTACATTAGTCTGTGGGGATTAGAAATGAAGAGGAAGCAGCAAGGTCAAGGTCAAGGGAGACCCTACAGAAAATACAATGCTTGGCATTTTCTACCAGTGTCAATTGCTGCCTCCCCAGATAAAGTACACAATTTGCTTTTCCATCCTTGTGTGTCTCATCTGTTTTTAAGCTGAAATGGAAAAAATAATTGGAAATTCAGTGACTGAATATATAATCCCTATAGTCCAGGTTCACTTGCTACATACTTTATACTAAAAATAAAATCAGATTTCATATGTCCTACATGCATATTTTACAGAATGTATTTTTTAAAATATTCAAGGGGTTGGGAATGCTTGAATCAAATTAATAGTTATGCATGTTTTGACCTGCAGATAGAAGTCTGTACTCTCTAAATCCATGAGTTTGTCCTGGGAGTAAATAAAGGAAGAGAAAGCTGACAAGATGGAATAGTAAAAGTGCTTGGTACCAAACCTGATGAGCTGAGTTTGGTCCCTACAACCTACATGGTGGAAGAAGCGAACCCATGCCAGTGAGTTGACCTCTGACCTCTACAAGTACATGCTGTGCACACCCACTCACTCATTCACTCAATAAATAAATAAATACATGTAACAATTGATAAAGGAAAGGAAGTAAACCATGAAGTGACAGATAGAGGGGAATTTAAAGAATTTAACAGAAACCAAATTGAATCGACAGAACATAATTAGCAATATTACCCTTTTGCTCATATGTGGACTAACAGGCTAATATATTAGTACCTCAGTTGGTGTATAAAGTTGGTGTATAAAAAAGTTGGTGACCAAAGAGATCATAAATAGTCTAAACTTCATCGAGAAAATCAGGATATTTCCTCTGGAAGGCAGGACTGGACTGTGATTATAATTTAGTAAGATAGAATCTTACTGAAGATCCTGAGAACACAGAGTGGAAGAAAAAAGATGATGAGCCTGGGTGACTCGATGGGAGACTTAGATGGGAGACTAAAGGAGATAGATGCCCCTCCCATCAGGAAAGAATCACCTGGCCTCCAAGTGGGAATAACTTGCTACCTGAAACACATGTTTCATGCTCAGTGATGGGACTACTGTCTAGGAAAATTTCATATCAATAATCACTAAAATCATACAGCAACCCCCTTGCTCAAATTTCATTTTCTTCTAGATCCTTCTTAGATTAAGTTGTCTTCCCAGAGAGTTCTCCCTTCAGGAGTGAATATTCTAGTCTTGTCTGCAGAGCCCTCTGCGTTTAGTTTAGTTTGAAACCATAGCTCATCCACTTGTACATTGTGTGGTAGCTAAATTGTGTTTCTGAGCATTTGCACTGAGGACTAACCTGGCTGAAATTAGTTTACCTAACTATGTGCCCATTTATGAAACCCTTCTTCAGCTAGACTGTAGCTCTACTTTGAGAATCCTTTATCACCAAAGCCCTTTAACAAAGCAAAACAAAAACAAAAACAAACAAAAAAGTGAGTTAACTATTCTCATCCATTTTGTTAAACACACTCTGAACACTAGTCAAATTAGGAGACATAAATTCATTTTTACTTTACTCTTACTTCCTTATGTAAATAGAGCTGTGGGCTTACACACTTCAAATGTGTATTCCTCCCTGTGTGGTTAATAGCCTTGATGAACTGGGCTAAACTCTTTTGCTTGGGACATTGGTCACTTTGGACATGTCATTAACTCTGATGGTCATCAAAAAAGTTACATCAATAATTACCACAGCTTCAAATAGACACATGAGGTTTTTTTTTTTTTTTTAAAGTATCTGTTTTGGACAACACACAGTAGAAAACAACAAGAGCTAATAAATGACTGAGTAAAAAAAATAGGTGTGTCTGAGTATATCTCATTACTATCTATTTAAAAACAATTTCTCTCCTCCTTTCCGTGTGCGTGTGCGTGTGCGTGCGTGCGTGCGTGCGTGCGTGCGTGCGTGCGTGTGTGTGTGTGTGTGTGTGTGTGTGTGTGTGTTTATGTCTACTGATAGGTTAGTGGTCATTAGCTTATAGTTCTTTGACTATTAATAATAATGCTACCTTTCCCCACTTTCACATTGTCAACTGACACAAATTCTGAAATCGAATCAATAACAATCCATCAGCAACTAACTTAGCATCTTTGAGTCCACATCCAGCCTGCACATGGGCACTTGCCTGAGACCCTAAGCACATGAATGTATTTGTCCAAAGGAACTAGATCTGGTAACATATACACATGTAATCCTAGGCACCAGGGAGGCTGAGACAGGAGGATCACAAATTTAAGACCTACCTTGGCAACTTGGTAAGATCCTTTTAAAATAAAAAGTACACTATATTTTGATCATATTGTTTCCCCTCACCCAACACTTTCTGGATCCTTCCGCCATCTATATTTTTTCATGTTCTTTCTCTTTCTTAAAAAACAAAAAACATAAACAAACAAACATTGAGTTCATTTTGTTTTGGCCAAATGAGGTGTGTCATTGTACAAAGAAAAGTTAGCAATTTATAAAACACTCAGTTATTAAGAGGTAGCAGTATAAAACTTTTCACACAAAGATGCACAAATCAGTAAAAAGGAAAAAATCAGTTATTAGAAATAGAAATTCTTCAAAATCCATCTATCAGCCAACAATATTATGGGTGTTGAGAAACTAGTTCTATAATTCATATATAACTCACAAATAGGTAATAGATCAAGAGCTAATGTTCTTTCTCAACACAGGCCCTGTCAGGGAAAACTAAATGCTTTATACATTTGTATATGCCCCATTATTTATAATAGAGATTCATGAGCTTTCTACAAACAGTTGAAGCTTAGATGATGAGTGAATGACAGACTCTCTAACTTGATAATACATGTTCTAATAGCAAGGAGAGGGCATTTCAGAGGTTCATAAACCATTATCAAATGCCTTACAGTCTACAGAGTATGCAGTAACATATTTAGAAGAAAGGATAGCTTTGAGTGCTCCCTCAGATTTGGTTAAAATTCTACTCTGAGAATTAACAAGCTCTAAGTTTTTGTGTCTTTGTTTATTCACATTTAAAATGAAAATATTAAATATTAAAATTTATTTAATGGATGTGTTGTTTCTATTGAAATGAATTATTGATAGAGTTGCTTAGCACATGCTCAAAAACATTTAGACCATTAAAATAGATCCATTGAAAATATATCTCCATTTCATTTGATTTACAAAATAACTAGGGCATCTCTGGCTTCCTAGGTTTTCTATAAAGACTTTTAGCAACTATTTACAAATATCACAGTTTATTATTAATAATAAAAATTTAATAGTACTAAGATATTTTTTAAATATATGAAGCCTACAAACTCATGGAAACTGAGCAACTCTCTACTGAGTTACCACTGGGCCAAGGAAGAAATAAAGAAATTAAAGACTTCACAGAATTAAATGAAAATAAATGCACAACATACCCAAACTTATGGGACACAATGAAAGTGGTGCCTTCATGAAGAATATGGAGAGATTATATGGAAAGACAAACATGGCATGTACTCACTTATATGTGGATATTAGTTGTAAAGTAAAGGATAACATTGTAGAATATTATTTTAAAGATGTGTTACATTTATTTATGTGGTGTAACATTTGTTTAATGATGTGTTTTCTATGGGATGTGCTGGGGTAAGGGTGTCCTAGAGATTGAGGGAGTGGGCAACCAGTGACTGGTCTAGCCTAAAACACATGCCAGGAGAGTAAGCCCGCCCCTAATACTTCCTGGAACACCGGGACCTACAGACTGGATTTCCCAGAGACCTAAGATAGAACTAAACAAACATAATTGGAGGAAAAAATGTCAATGTAATGATGCCTAATAATATTCTGTTATACTCTTAGATTGGTGCCTAGCACAATTGCCATCAGAGAGGCTTCATCCAGCAACTGATGGAAACAGATGCAGACCCACAACAAAATACTAGGCAGAGCTTGGAGAATCCTGCAGAAGAGGATAAAAGATTGTAGGAGCCAGAGGGGCCAAGGACACCACAAGAAAACTCATATAGTCAAATAACTGGGGTTCACAGGG